AGCAGGGCTGGCCCAAATCATTCGATACACCAAATCAAAATGCCGACATCCATTACCGTCTTGAAATTCAACTCATGGTTTCAATTAGGGGTTTGTAACTAATGGGTCTGGGGCAGATTAGTCTAAATATATATAAATAATATATATATATATTTAATATTTAATAAGCTCGATTAATTCCGTTAATTAACCGAACGGAATTAACCGATAACTGAACTTTGAAAAAATCATTAACTGTTAATCGATCAATTAACCGAAAATAAATTTAGTTCGGTCGATTAATTCGGTTAACCGAAATTTTGAACACCCTTAGTTTCAATGGCAAAGAGAACATCCTCGTAAGTTGTATTAGCAAAGTATCCCAAACAATATAGTTGCACGAACCAATTGATCTCAGTAATCTCTCGAGTTCAAGTACGACGTTTGTAGGGATGTTTGAGTGTTTATTATCAAATGATTGAAAATATTTTAAACATATATTATTTTATAATTATCTCGTGTTAATATTAAAAAAAAGTTTTCAGCCACATCAACTCCCACCTAGTAAAGACAAAAGAGTTAGTTTGTTGGTCATCGTTTCATCACATGTAAGACCATCACAAATGTTTCCTTTGCAGGACATTCAACAGATCATTTCCACAGTCATGTTTCCTTTTCTTTTTGGATAACATGTAATGTTCAGTGTCTCCTCATTTTCATTAGTTAAACAAAATTCTCTATCGATAATATGTAATTATATGACTCAAACGATTTTAAAATAAGACAGAGATGAAAATGAAACAATTAAAATTAGGGTTATGATTACCAACAACTAGTTAGTTTAGTGAGATGAGACGTTAAATTCTTTAAGCAAGGTAAGGGGTTTAAATCGTGGTGATTGTGAATGGAGCAAACTGAGTTAAGAGGGTCGTCCTCGACTCTATAATACCCGATCCGAATTAGTCGATAAATAGATCAGATACAAGTGGTTATAAAAAAAAGAAAGGTTATAATTAGACTTTTTTTTAAGGATTTTTTTAATAACTTTTAGGAGGACGAAGCTTCATTCCTTTCACACAACTTTTCTCCCCTACATATGCTTTTTTTTTTGACAGAATATAAAGGGAAAGTCATGAGCTATTCAAAGCAACCGATATTCCATATGTTATATAAATAGATGTCCTTTATTCCCATATATATGGGGTAGGAGAGGTTAGATAGTAGGCTACTCCCAACACCAGATTGAGAGCAGCTTCTGTAATAGACCTTCGAATTATGAAATGCCCTCCATGGGACTCGATCCCACGACCTCAAGGTATAGAACCTTGTGCTCTACCAACTGAGCTGGATTCCAAATGAAGAAGAATAAAAGGTGGGGTGTATTCCTCTTAGATTTTGTGAAGGATTCCAAATGGCTTTTGAAAGAGAGTTACTTTGTACAATTCCATTTGTGTTTTTGCAGTGTGAACTTGTCCATGCATCCTTAAGAACAAAGAATAAGAATATTTGGAAGATCGTATCTTTTAGAGGGTGATGCCATGCAAATTCCTACCTCTACATCCAGGGATGGATCGAGCACCATGTGGGGTAGTTGTCTCTTAAAATTTTTAAATTATCATATATTTTAAATTTTTAATGTGTTTTTTATTGAAAATTATTTGTGTCCCATAAAATTTTATAAGTTTAAGTTCGGCCTCCTAGAAAGATATAAAATCTTACGTTCATCTTACTAATATAAAATCTTACATCCGTCTCTGTCTACACCTATTTTTATTTATATCAAATACCTAGGAACCAGATTGTATATTTATTTTATTACAATGTTTGATATTGGTAGTAAAGGAGTTGTTATTTCTTAAGGTCTCGAGTTTGAGCACCATGAATGGCAGAAATATAAGCATTCAAAGTCAAATGATTGAGAATTATCTTTAAACAAATATTATATTGTACTAATCCCATCTTAATAAAAGAACATATTTGATCGAGAAATAATTTACACATTCTTTCATGTTAGAATTGTTATCTTTAGAGGTTTAGATTCAAGCATCAGCGACTGCAAAATATTTAAACGTTTATTGTCAAATGATTAAAAATCTTTAAAGTATATATCACCATTTGTAATCGATTAATAAAAAAACTCGTACAGTGACAGGGTGAATGGTGATCCCATACGCTAATCAAGGTAGATAGATTAACATACAGTTATTGAGTGTTCTTTTTTTTTCAATGCAATTAGACATGTGAAAAGAACATGGAACATGCAATTTAATTAGGGAAAGCATCTCACAAACTTCAAAACTGACGTCTTGATTGAAATTCTTGGCGTAAAAGGGGAATTAAAAGAAGGGGAAAAGAGAAAACCAACTGTCCATAGTCAACTAGAACCCATCATCAATTGGACAAACCTGAAGCAGCAGAGAAAGTGACACGTAGGTCACCTTGACCAAGAAACGAAAGCATGCATAACGCACTACTTTTTAAAAAAAAATGAAATATAAGGTAGTATTGTTTAATTTGTTTAATTAATGATAATATCTATATATTTTATAGACGTAATTGTTTGAATCTAATTTTTTTTTAAAGATAACAATATTTATTTTAACCAATAAGACTATTTTTAAAGAGATATCGGGTTTGAGCACCATAAATGTATTTGAACTTTTGTGCAAGTGAATACATATATAAACATAAAATTTAGAACCAAAGGGAGAGGGTCAGAAAAATACAAATACATTAAAAACAAGGGGAATGGATAGCAAACATGAATTTTCATTGATTATATCAAAATTTTGTATAATAAACACTGTTTAAGAGACAAGGAGTGGTGTTTTAGCAGACATTAAAGTCGTGTAAGGGGCAGGCAAACATGTGTGAAGGAAAAGAATCAAACACCTTCACATGAATCATATAATTAAATTTTGTAAATATAAAAGATAATGGCTCTTGTAACTTTGCGAATATAATACAACCCCAATATTGATTTCATTACATAAATAACAACAAAGCCAGACGAAAATAATGATCCTTACGGTCCGTTTGGTTTTAAAAAATAGATATGTAATTTTCATTTTCATTTTAGAAAATAGAAAATATTGAAGAAAATATGTTTGGTTGTAAAATTAGAAAATGATTTTTGAAAAATGAAAACAAAAATAAGTGAAAATATGAAGAAAAAAAATATGTTTTCAGTATTTTAATTAAATTATTTTGAAAATTTGAAAAATAAGGAAAAGTGATATCTAAATTTTTAACTTAACTTATTTAGCTTAATGGTATATGAAACTTTCAAACTTTTGCAAAAAAATTGAATATGATCTTTTGACCTTTTTTTACACTCAATATAATCCTTAAATTGAATTTTTAATAATTTAATTTTGTAATATTTTTATGTTTAATGTATTGAATACCTTAATAATTGCTTATATTTGTATTTTTAATTTAAATGATTTTAATTTTTTAAAAAATAAATAAGTCTTCAAATTTTCTAAAAAAAATCAATTACGCCATCAAACTTGGTGAAAAAATCAATTAAGTACATCTATCATATCATCATGTATCGTGTGTTGCCATGATAATATGATAAACTATTACTTCAATATTGTATATTGTCAACGTTTATGAAATGTTATGTAGGCATCGTGACAGTCAACATTTGATTCAGTTCTTCAAAGGGATAGATTAATTTTTCTCAGTGAAAACAATGTGCAGGGTTACACTAATTATTTTTTCCAAAAGTTTGAGGGTCTCAATTATTATTATTAAACATATTTTTATTTTAATGAAACTTGTATGCTCTTTCTTATAATAATATTTTGTGTATTTTTAAAATTTAATTAATGTCCAATATACAATAACATTATATTCTTATTATAAACTAAAATAAATTTTGTGTTATGAAATTTCTTATCAAATTTCTTATTTTATATTTGCATAATTCACAAGTTAAATTAACGTAATAATTTTTAATTATTATAGTTTAATTTAATTTTTAATAATTATTTATTCATTTATATTTTAAAAATACCAAATACATTTTATCATTTTATTTTTGTATTCAAGTTTTCATTTATATTGCCAAACATGTTTTCTAATTTAAAAAAAATTGAAACTAAAAACTATTTTCTAAAAATAGAAACATAAAATAAAAAACAAATCTAAAAATAAATGCACCCTTAGCTCCTTTATTTTTTATTATTTAATTTGATTTATAGAAAGTGATTTTTATTTTTTGAAGTTTTAAAAATATAAGTTTAGTAAATAAAAATATTTTTTATTAATACTAATAATATAAAAAACATGTTTGATATCTATTTTTTATAACGAAAATTGAGATATAAAATAACAAGTTCATCATCCAAAAGAGAGAACTTTAATTTTCTCAAATTTAGAATATGAATTTTTATTCTAAAAAATAATTTTTTCTTTAATAATTTTGATTTATTCAATTTAAATTAAAGATGGACTGAAACAAATTTTAGTGCATCATTGGTGAATGAATCTCATATACTCTCAATGGATCACAATATGTCATTTTATTTAAAGAACAAAATAAAACATATAAATAAATGCTTAAAACAGATAATGTCAGTTTTGGTACATGTAATTTGAAAAATTGTTCAATGTAGTTTATGTACTTTTAAAATATTTAATATGTACATACGTAACCTAACAAAATATTAATGTGGTACTTATTTAACATGTACTTTTAAAATATTTAATCTGGTACTTATACTTCGACAAAATACCAAATGTGATACCTATGCTTTGATAAAATATCCAATGTAGTACTCGAATTATCATTTTGTGTATTATCATAGTACATGTGATTTTTTGTTAATTGATTTGGCACTTACTGATAGTGTTAACTCAAATACCATAATAATACACGAAATAATAATTTAAGTACTACACTCGCTAATAAGGTTAATTCAGGTACTATAATAATACTTAGAATAAAAGTTCATGTACCACATTGGACATTTTGACAAAGTATATTATTATATTAAACATGATACAGAATCTAATTCAAAGCCTCCGTGGATCCTCTACAAATGTCAAATATTCCATTGTAGAGACCATAACAGAAACCCTCCTACATCACAAACCAAAAGATACTTTGACCTAACAAAATACAAGGAAAAATTACATGATACTTGTCGGGGTTTTCTACTTTTCTTGGCTCCTCAGATGGCTTCCCAATCGATTTCAACCGATGGGTACTTCCCTAAACAGAAGTTTCCACTGTCTTCCCACCTGGAATCAGAGAAATCGAAGAAAGTGATATCAGATTCCGGTGAAGAAGATCCTGCCAAGGACTCATCAGCCGATGCTGTTGCTGATGATGACAGTGATGAATCCTCCACTTTATGATCAAACTCCTCCCTCTTCACTATAGGCTTTGAATCCGAAACTGAACCGGTCTTCTCCGAATTCCCTTGCTTCTGCATGCTCTGACAGATGGCTTGGAGCTTAGCGTCAACCGAGGCATGGAGGGGCTTGTAGTCACCAAATTCTCCAAAAACATGAGCTCCTTGGTGCTTGAGGTGTGGGAAGTTAAGCCTGGCGAAGTCTCCCCGAAGCTTGTAAGCGGCTTTGTCGTAAGCCAAAGCTGCTTCCTCGGCCGTATCGAAAGTGCCAAGCCAAAGGCGGGTTCGGTTCTTCGGGAGTCTGATTTCAGCTACCCATTTGCCCCAGTGCCTCTGTCTCACACCCCTATAGAGTTTGGTAGCCTTTTGAGGGGCGGAAGAGACATGCTTCATAGGGACAGGCTTTGGGGAAAGAAAGTTAAGCCTCTGGTTTTGAAGAGATGCTGTTGCAGCAGCAGTAGCCATGGACGCAAGCTCCAGTTCCTGCTGCTGCTGCTGCTGCTGCTGCTGAAGGATTTGAGCTTGAATTTGGAGGATTTGAGAAGGGGTGAGTTGGTTAAGCCCGAGTGAACCTGTTTGCTCGAAACACATCATGTTGTCGTAGTTAGAGAACCCATAATTCGAAAACAAGTGTGTGGAGCTCGATGGGGAGCAAAATTCAGGGTACAAGTTGGGCTGTGACGGAGCGATGAACTGAGAATAAGAGCATGAAGAAGACAAAGGAGAAGAAGCAATTTTCATAAAAGGTTCAAGCGCTTTCATTAGCTCGTCTCTCAAAGGATCTGAGAAAACCGAGCTTCTGCTGCTATTATACATATCTATAGTGGCTGCCATATCCAAAAAACAAAATCTAAAAATTACCTGTTTCTTAACCAAAACTAAAGAACAGGCAATAGTTTGGTAGTAAAAAAACAACCTCGGGGGACCAAAAACAAACCCTCTCAGTTGATGAAAATAAAGACAAACTTTGTTAAAAAGAAGAAACCTGGATCTCTATTCTGGATCACCTGGCTTTCAAAAGAACAACCTTGTAGGCTCTGTTTTATGGACAGATTTTTCTTCTATCAGCTTGAAAGACAGACGATTACAGAAATGGATTCAGAGAAGCGGGAATTACAGAAAAAAAAGGGTTTAAGAAGAAGAGTGAAATGATCAAAGACTGCTGTAAAATCTGGAAATTGAAATTCTCTCTGTTTTTCTGGGTGACCTCACCTTGGTGTTTACTCTCTTGCATTCTCTGGGTAAGCTCATCCCTACTTATATAACCCATGAAAGTAACCCATGTGCTCCTCTCTCAAATCCCTTTGATTTATTAAAATTAATTTTTAAATAATTATGAGATAATTAGAATTTAATTAATCACCTCCCTTGTTGTCAACTTCGAAGATGCCTTCATTCGAGAGGATGACGAGTGGTAGCTTTACACGGGTAAAACTTTTCATTGGACTTGCAGTTATTTGTATTTGAATTTATAAATTTTAATAATACCAATAAATCCTTTGATTATAGATAAATTAGTTTGTGCATATCAACATAATACTGAACACATATAATTACAAGTTATGGAAAATTAAATATTAATTATGCAAACGTCAGATGAATACAGCAAAACAATTTCATCCAAAATTAATTAATAATTAAATGAAATAGATGTTGAGATAATCCAATGTGGATAGTGCTGTCTGCGGAGAAAATAAAATTTGGTAATAAAAACCAAAAGCATGTTTATAATGATGATTAAAGTCAATTGGATTTAATCATGTGACGACGAAAGCAGGGAAATAACGCCGAGAGCATCACCACTTGCGTGTTATTATCATACTCGTAATTAGGTTTTATAGCTATTATAATTAAAAGGACAAAGTATACAAATGATCTCTCATTATAAATAGTTGTTTTATTGAATCTCTCTTATTAAAAATTATAAAATAATATCTTAAATATAAAATATTATTTTATTAAATTCTTTAATTATTAAAAATTATAAAATAATCTTTTGACTATTTATATATTCTAAACTCATTCATTTTCGTTAAAAAAATTGATTAACGTTTGAACTTGATATTAACTTGCCGATTGAGATAAGATAAAATCATATTTTAATAATGTTATATTGGTACTATCGTTGTTTTTAAGTACTGACTCGATGACATAACGTTTCAAGCACTGGCTCGACTGCATGATGAAAACAGAGAACTGATTCATAAATACAACTTAAATAATTATGGAATCAAATTTGATCATATCTTAGTCGATAAGTTAACGTCCAACTTAGACCATCGTCAATTTTTCAATTGAAAAAGACGAGTTTAAAACATATGAATAGTTAGATGACTATTTTATAACTATCAATAGTTTATAATCTCATAATTATAAAATAATATTTTATAATTATAAAATTATTTTATAATTTTTAATAATCAAAATATTTAAAAAAAAATAACTCGTTACAATAGAAGAATCATTTATATGCTTTACTCCCCCTAGAAAATGACATTTTAATAATATATTCAAATTCGTGTTGAATAAATGCCGAATGAGCATTAGATTCTTGAGGGGTATTTTTACTTTTTTAGCGTCAGCTTACATGTTGGTAAAGTGAGAATCATATTTTAATATTTGTCAGAATTATTAATGAATTTTTAACCCATTGGACCAACCCATATATTCATATGTCAGCTGAGTTGAATGAAGGAATAACAAATGTTAAAATGGTTATGAACATAATTATTTGTGTTTGTTTTTATAATATATTTGTTCGTTTATTTTTATAATATAATTTTATTTATTATTATTATTATAATAATTTGATATTTTATATTTTCGTCCAACTTAATGTGTCCATTATTATCATTTTAAAAGTTAAACTTTGATTATAATTATTTTAAATGTTTCAAACAATTAAATTTTATAAAATGTATATAAGACCGAAAACTACTTGATTTAAGGTTTTCAAAATATTTTTTATTTTTTATATTTTATATTTAAATTCAACAACCTGTTGATTTAGTTTGATGATGAAGTAGATCTCTTAAACAAGGTCAGTGATTTAAATCATGACGATTGTGCATAGAGTAAACTAGTTTGAGAGGGTCGTTATTGTCTCAACAATATTCGATCTGAATTAGTCGATCAATAATTCAGATACCGATGATTATATCAAAAATGATGAATTTAAATAATATTAAAAGATAATTGACAAAAAATTTGGACAATAAACAAATTTAATAGTATACGAATACCTCTTAATCAAAAAAGGTGAAAAAAATATGGAAGCAATGAGAAAATGAATTGGGGGTGGGATTCAAATCAAAGATTGCGTAGGAAATAAGCGATAAACATATCAAATTCCCCCAATATTCTACTCCCAAAATCATTAAATTAAATTTATAAATGATTTTATTACTATAATTATTGGGGAGAGGGAGTGGCACGGGACCTACTTTGACTCGTATACACGTCGTTTCCTACGTGGATATCACTTCCAAGTCAAGCAAACCACCTTCATGTTCAGACCTCTTCAATGTGTCATTTCCCATTCAAGTCTTAAATGTGATATTAGCATCACTCAAAATTAATGACAAATTCGGTCCCTACTTGTTCAACTTTTTACAGCAAGTGTTCAAGAAAATCGATGGCACTTTAATTTTCGATTTGAATTTATAGTTTTCATTGTCACGACAACATATAAGTGATCGTATATGAATTTTGGATGTTGTGGGATGTTATTCTTTCTCTTTCGTAATCGACTTCTAAACTCTTAAAATGAATATTTGATAAGTACCAATTAATTTTTTCTTTAAAATGATTTTTCTTAAAATATATCTTTAGGTATTCGACCTATATAATCAAAAGGTCGACAACGACTCCAAATTAAATTTTATCAAAAATTCAAATTTTCAAAAATAAGTTGTAAACGTAAATTTAAGGTTTCCTCTTAAAATGGAAATAACGTTAAAAAATGTTATGACAATAAACAAATTCTTTTAAAACTTCACAACTCAAACCATAACCATGATACGTTTTTAGGAATTTATAATTACAAATATAACCAAAGGGATATAAATAGGAAATAAAACACGTGCAAGAGACAAGATTTAATGAGATTCAATCTTACTTACGCACAGATTGAAAAAAACAACATAGATTCACTATAAATATAAAAAATTATATAGTACAAATAAATGATATATTATTTGTTATGGACTCGATATATATTTAAACTTGATGAATCTCAAAACACTCTCATAACATTCCTATAAAACTCATATATACAACATAAATCCAAAAAATTGCTGAGACTATTCTAAATAAATGTAATTTTAAGTTCGACTGCTTTGAAAATGTTGAAATCAAAACTTAAGCTGTCTTAGAACACATCCTCCTAAATTTTCCTCTCTCTCTCTCTCTAAGATTTATGTTACTCTCTGTAAATTAGATCATTTCTTTTAATTTGTTTAATCGGCGACAATATCAGTTTCGATATTAGTCACTGATAATCGATTCTTTTTCTCTCTTTATACTTTTTAGTTTTTTAATAGAATAATATGACTTTTGTAGCACATTTTCTCTTCTTTTTTAACATATTTTTCATATTTTTTTCGATCGTTTGATCACTTTTTATTTTATGTGTTCTCATTGTTGGATTTGACGACGTCACTTCTAATCAAGATAACACACATTTGTAATCCTGCTAATCTTATCTAATTTGAACCCTCATATTGAATTTGGATACGCGATTTTACGTTCGTGTATAATTTCTTACAACACTCGGTTCTAATTTGCGATTCTCGATGGTCTAGCTTAATCCCATTTTTTTTACTCATTTATCGATACAATCAAATTTATTTGTGTATATTTTTTGTTTCAGTCTTTTGGTTGAGTTTTTAATTTTTTATTTATAATCCTTATATAATATAAAGGGATTAGTTTTTCATATCATCCTTAATCACAATCATTCGTAGCTAATCATAAAATTGGATGGAGCCCATAATTGACTTTTGTTGCTTCCAATATTTGTATATTGTCTGCCTGTAATGATCCAAAACAAGTGTTCATACTAAACAAGTTTAAAGCTAATTTTCAAATAAGTAAAGAAACACATCTAATTTAATTTTTTTTTATAGAAGTGATTAATTTTATAAAGAGATGAAATGTCTAAAATTATAATGAAAATTTAAAATTATAATTGTCAATTAAATACGTAATTAAGACATTTTTCTATAATTATTTACATAAAAGACTAGTCATCTAAGACCACACAAGGAACATACAAGAAAAATGTTAAAAATCCAACTAAAAAAATCGAACAAAAGATAGATATGAACTAATCCGATTGCATCGAATAATGAACTATAAAAGGTGATCAAACTATTGAAGCACCCCCGATAAACAACAAATCAAAGTCAAATGACATGAGAAAACTATCAACGAACGCAAATCACGTAATCAAATTCAATCCGAGGGTCCAAAGCAGGAAACATCAACATGATAATAAATATGTGTCATCTTAATCAATCGTGATGACGTTAAACCTATCATTCAGAAAAAGATAAACGAAAACAACAATCAAACGACAAAAATATGTCAAAATACAGAAGAAAATGAGTAATAAAGATTAAATTATTAAAAATTAAAAAATACATGAGAAAAAAAAGATGTTATACGAGGAAATAAAATAAAAAAATACCAATTACGATAATTAACACTAAAACTGACGTCCTCGCTTCATATCTAATTACAATTTTAAAATATTTGTTAACAATATCTTGTATAAAAGTTCCAAACCATTTCACAGCCACTAATTAAGAAAAAAAATTAGCTAACCCTATTCCATTATATAATGGAGTGAGAGGAAAGTAAGGTGATAGACTACCCCCAACGGGTTGAGAGCAATTTCCGTGGAATACCTCCGGCAATCAGAATTATGAATTGTCCACCGTGGTACTTGATCCCACAATCACAAGGTTAAGAGTCTTGTACTCTACCAACTAAATTGGACGGACAATTCACGGCCACTAATTCAGAAATATGTTTAAAATTTAATAATCTAATAAGTCTAGTGTTATATAGAAAAATAATTGACCTAAAAAATTGTCTACACTTAAAAGTAATAAAAGATGATGATGAAGCAACAAAGTAAAATAGACTGTTAACAATGAGATTGGTTTAAGTGATAAAGAATTTAATATTGTTTAAGTAAATTTTAAGTTCGAATTTTTGTATGTGTAAAAAATCCTTACTCAGAAATTTACCGACTAAAACTTGATGTGTAATCAGGTCGATTTGGATTAATCAAGACAAAATCTCGAGAAACCGACGAAAGAAAAAGCAATGTGGGCTGCTGATAAGATATTAAACTAGTTATTGCTTCTAAAATTTGTTCACCATTGGGGATTAGAGTTTCTTCGAAGGCGATATAAAATTATCGTCAATTACCAGATTTCTTATTCAGACTCTTAATAACAGTGATTGAAACGATGGCTAAATTATCACTTGATGACATAAACAATGACGATGTTTTATGCATTTATTTGCTCATATTTGCAATCAATCTTTTGTATTAAAATAATTATTCCTTTATCCCATAAAATTTTATTTGTTGACTTTTAAAAAAAAACTTTTACTTTAATTATTTTAAATATTTTAAATAATTAAAGTTTATAAAATATATATTTAAAAATTACTTTTTAAAATGTGTTTTTACATACTTTTATCAATTATACATTTTTAATAATAATTAGTCAAATTTTAAAAAAATTGACAAAAAAAAAGTCAATAATAGACAATATTTATAGGATAAAACGAGAATTACATAAAAGATGAACATCATTCAAATTGAATCGAATGAATTACCAATCACATTTACTCTTTTTTTTTTCAAATCATATCACTCTAGTATTAGTTTAATTACTATTATTTTATTATAATATTTAAAAATCATATTTTGACTATGTTTAAATATATAATTGCTTTTAATTGAAAAACACAAATTAAATGATCTCGGTGGTAATGTAATTGTTGTTAATCTTTGAGATTTAAGGTTCAACCATCAAGAATGTTAGGAGTATCAACGTTCATATTACCCTCTATTTACTCCATATTAATCATTTTTTAAAAAGAAATAAAAATAAAAAGAAATGGAACTATTCTTGACTGAATCATACGTAGGTCTTTATCTAGTTAATATTTTTTTTATCTTTTTATTGATAATTCAAATGTATAATTCTAATTTTAAATTACCACTAACATTTAGGTCTAGGGAGGATTTTTTTTAACGAAACTCCTGTTGATGTCGTACTTTGTGTGGTCCATGATTAATCATACAAATCCCCTTTAAGAAAAAGAAATTAATTTTAAATTATCAATTATACTTGAAATATTAAATTGCTAATATTATTAATTTTTTAATAAATTATTAAACGGACCCTAAAAAAATTCAACATATTCAGACCTGTTTTGAAGTTCAAATATTCACGGACAATAAATTGGTCTAGTAAGATCAGACATTAGATATCTTTAGTAAAATAAGGAATATAACATATTTGAAATAGAACAAATTGAATTAGAGAGATTGCCCTAACCTTAGGCCTGTAAATGAACTGAACGTTCATCGAACCATTCATGAACCGTGCGACTGGAAGTTCGTTTATGTGCGTTTATTTATTAAAAGAATGAACATGAACAAAATTTTATGTTCGTTTAATTAAATGAACGAACATAGGTCTCGTTTGTTCATTTACGTTCGTGAACGCTCGGTTATGTTCGTTCGATTATGTTCGTTCATGTTCATTCATTTATGTTTAACCCAATCTTCTTAAATCAATTTTGGTGACCAATTTGTAAGTATCTTAAAAATATTAATTAATTTGATATTCTGATGACCAACTTCATAATTAACCAATTTTATTTGTAAATTAAATCCAATATGTTAACCCGTGAGGCACCTCGCACCTATATTCATTTTTCCCCTTTTTTCCCCAAACCCTAGTGTTCACTGGAGAGTGGAGACGATCAGTGAAAGCTTCAAAACAAGTTATATTATAGTGCAATCTGAAGTTTTACAGGTATGTTTTTATCTCTTTCTCTGTTTTATTTGGCTTAATAGTTAATATGTAAAGTTATTGCGGGTATCTTCATATTTAAAACTCAAGAAAACATCATATTTCTTTCTAGAAATAAATGGGAAGATAAAGGTAACAATTTGAAGTATATGAGCATCAGTAAAGAGAAAAATATATAGAATTTGCCAGAAAACAAAACAAAGGTTTCTATACAATTTCTGAAAAAGAGTGTAATAGCGGAAGTAATGAGTTTTCCAGGAAGAACCCATTAATAAGTAGAAAATACACTTTGACAATGAACTTTTGTTTTCATAGTTATTGTGTGACCTTTAGTTGTGTAGTAGACTTTAGGTATGTTAAAATTTTGAATGGTGATTTAGCAAAAATATCAGTTACGATATGTAACATCGGAGGGATTTCGGATCTATGTTATTGCCTTGTAGTCCAATTTGTACAGTTCGAAATCTTCATGCTGTTAAATTTTCTACTCTGCCAACGGAAAATACGCATTAGTAACAAATCTCACTGAAGTCTGACATTGATGTCACAAAACTTTTAGCCGGTGAATTTATTAGAATAACATAGTGGAAAATGATTGTTCATATGTAATCATGGACTACTAAAATAAATGTTGTAGCGTTAAATTAAAGTCCTGTGAATCATTTAATATTTTTAAAAGATCGATCGAAATATTTGATATCTTCAAACATTTCATCATTGCTAATCAGCTCTTACGCTATTTATCACTGTAGATTTGGTTGATTTGCATTGTCGACTATTTTTCATGAAAGAACAATGGAAGGGTAGGGTCTCCAACGTTTATGTTTGTGTTCGTTTATGTTCGTTTATTTATTAAATGAACGAACATGAGTATACCTCCGTTCGTGTACGTTCGGTTCGTTTACAAGCCTACCTAACCTCTGCAATACTCAATACAAATTAATTGATTAATAGATTGAATATCGGAGATTATAAAAAATAAAAAATAAAATCCCCAGAATACATAGAACTAGTTACTTAGAAATATTGGAACAGAAAAACTCACATTCAAACGGATAGATACAAAATCATGATTGAAACAACATCGTGAGACAGATCATATTGCAGATTATCGAGTCCTGCATGTGTACTTGCAACTTTCTTAATTTACAACCATATATTCCAAAACCCAAATCTTAATGTTTGCTTATCCTTTAATCATCACATAGCTTTACATAATCTAGTTGGCCTGCAACTTGAGGTACATAATTCGAGCACCATCACCTTTTTGTCGAACATCCTCGTACATCTTCACCGAGGCCTCAGAGAATTTGTTTAGTCTGTCAAGAACACGAGTCAAACTCGCCTGAATGCAGCTCAAGTTTGAATATACATCATCATTTGTATCCTCGTCTGTTAACGCGTTAAGACCGTCTTTTCTCCCCGGTTCTCCATTGTTTGCATCAACTGATCCGTCTAATTTTGGTAGTTTGTTTGCTTGGTCGTCCATTAGATGACAAATATCAGATAAGAAGGATTTGATGGCAGTGCTAAGTTCCTCCGCTGGCAAGGCTTTTATCCCAGCCGACCATTCACGACATAGGACAATTATCGGTGGCCCGAATCCCAGATATTGATGAGGTGAGAACGGATACCGATTCTTCGAACGTTCCTGCGGTTCTTTGATGCAGTTCTGCAGCCAACCATTCAGAGCTTCCAAATAAGATGCATGACTGTTGACCCAGTCGGTAAAGCTTACACCAAAGCATTCGATCTCTTGCCGAAGCTGCGCCATAATCTGCCTCCTCGTATCTCCCTGTGGCGCATCCGTTGAGTTACTTGAATGGTATGCCAGTGAGATGGTGATATACTGTGAATGATGACATTCAAGCATTGCCTTCCACATTCTAAGCAATCTGCAGAGACAAACATTAGTTTAGTGGACTCGGATGCCAATGTTTGCAGAAAACTGAGATTTTCGAGTGCATGTGGGAGTAAAGTTTCAGTCATTCAAAAATTTATGATTTGAAGGAGCTTACCCCTGAGTTAACTCTACAAGTTGTGGCTGCAACTCTTCATCTCTCATTTTTTCAATTCGCTTCGATATATTATTAACAGAATGAAGTGCCACTCTAATTCGGGAGTGTAGATCCTTTACAACTGCCCGTGTTTTATCGATCACTTGGGTGCTAAGATCTTTAGCAAACTGGTGTCTGAGCTGATCACACTTCCGATCATACTCCTTCCTGATAGATTCACTAGCCTAACAGGTGCAGCAAACAAGTCAAGAGTATCGAAGAGAAACACACCCATTCGATGACTTTAAATCAAAGCTACAAATTCTTGCGGATATTGATTGAATACTCAGTAAACTTCTCTACAATTCGCACCAAGGCATGGATTAATGTATTTGCTCCCAGCACTCATATAAAACTCACCTAACAGAGCTTCCGTACAACTTAATCATGCTTTGAGCGTTATCGAAGAAAGAAAATGTTGAAATGTAAAGCATATAACGAACATTTTTTAACCTACTGACTGAAACTTAGAAGTTTGAACGATTACAACCGACGATTTAGAAATAAACTAAAGAAACACTCGGAAGTGATAGCACACAACATGAAGACAGAAGCTAATTATATTAGTCACCATATTCCAGTCTTTCGGTAGGATCTTGCACGGAAAAATCTGGTGATAAAACATATGCACTTGACATGGTATAATTAAGCAGCTGTATCATCATCTTTCCAATTTCACTATGTACATAACAAACAAAAAATCCTGAAAAAAAACTAATATTTGAACATATATGGGCGTGTATATTTCTCTATACCATATGAAGAAGACAAAAAGTACCTTCACTTCATCATAGAGTTTTCTTTCCCATGCATACAGTCTGTCCAAGGTGGAGGAATGGCTACCAGCAATCATGCAGAACTCTTCGATAAAATCATTTCCACTGTCATCAGCATCGGCCGTGGTTAGCGGGTTCCTTGATGAAGAAGACCTCGAAGATGCCAACCTCTTCCAATGTATGACTTTAGTTGCATGTTGCACTGGCTCTATCGGTCAAGTAAAAAACGTTAAACAAGTAAAAATCCACAAGTCCGTTTTCTGGCAGTATGCAATGCGGCGGACACATACAGAAGCGAGAGCTTACCACGAGAAACCAAAGCTGTCTTTCGACGACAGCAAACAGGTTGGAAAGCTGCCAGCAATGTCGAGGATCCCCCTACAACAAGCGATTTTATCTTACGACGTTAGCAGGATAGGAATCAGTAGTATATGACCAACGACCATATGCAGCACTAGCATTGAATAGACAATATATTTTGAAGAAGAATCCGAAATTTAAAGCTCAGTGAAGAGTAAAACTGTGTCTCATGGTCAAACAGGATTACCTTCAGCTTCTGAATATCCAACCTTGATTTTGTTAGACTCAAGCATCCGAGACACTTCTCTGCCTGCTTCCGAGGCTCGGAAGAATCGATGTTTGATACCCTTTATGCTTGAAAGAAAATCCTTGGCTCTATGGGTTATAAACTCAGAAGGATCTTCTCTTTCTGCAGATAAATCTTTCTCTCCCATAGCTTTTCCCCTCATTGAACTTGATTGTTCAGGAGTACCTTCGCTTCCCAAAGTTTCACCTGGACCATTGACATTATGCTCCACTTCCTTGTCATTTGTCTGCCTAGTTCCACCATTTCCTCCTAATCCAATTAAAAACATATCATGCTCCATAGAACTACCACGGCAATAGTTCCGAGCGGAACGACTATCGAACACTTTGATGGCTTTTCTCTCCGATTCAGGCCACAAAGTTCCATTGGTGAACTCATTATTTTCCTCCAAATCTCCATGATCAATCCCTTTGCTCCTAAACTCTCCCCACCCTCTCAAATCCTCAAAATCCACATCAACTCCATTGTTCCCCATGAATCTAAAACTCTCACAGTCATCAACAGGGTCAAAGAAATCCCAAGAGCCTGACGCAAAAGGAGGAGGAGGAGGCAGCGGCGGCATTACCATCTCCAATGAATCATCCTCCAAAGAACAACCATTAGCAGGATTCACCTCAACAGTCACAGCAGCACTATTCCCTGCTCTCATGCAACTCAAACTCGCGGTTACCGGTGAAATGGGACTCCCATTCTCCAATGGCGAATCAGAAACATCGGCTCCTAAATGAGAAGGAGACGGTGAAGGATGGGAGGACTGGGAAGGGGTTTTCTCAAGCTCAGTAGCAGAGGTTATTACGGAAGACTCTATCAACATCTCAGCTTCAGAAAATCTTCCTAAAGCTATACCGATATTTCTAAGAGATTGAACATAAGAAACATGAGCAGCCGCAAGAGCATACCTTGAATCAATGGCTTGCTTTATGTATCTCCTTCTCTCTTTACATAGACGCAAGGCTTCATTTTTGTCAGCTTTTGAGTTTCCACTACCCATTTTCCCCCTTCACCAAGATCAAAACTATCTACTTCATGAAATTAATCCATTTTTCTAGCCACTAAAGACTAAGCAAAAAAAATACCGACTTTGGGTAAGCATAAGGAAGCCATTCTAGTGAAGAAAGTCCAGAGAAACAGAGGAGAACAGAGCAAGCTTTTTTCTCAGGAACAAAAGGGAACCCAGTTGGAGGAAATATTTTATTACGACGATGGAGACAAGATGGAGAAATTTATTGGACTTAATAAAAGGAAAATAACAAAGGGAAGAAAAAAAACAGAGGTGTGGTATGGTAGTTTTCAACAAAGACAGACAGAAATACGAGAGAAGAAACCTCCCAGAAACAATGCAGGAAAAACAAGTGGTCAGGGTGTAATAAAATCAAGCAAGTTAATGGATGGAAGCTAAGAAGCAGCCAATGGGAATTCCAAGCTCGAAACTTTTGGGAAGAAAAATAAAAGCTTGAAGCAATTTGGAAAAGTTTGCCCCAGTAATGAAATTGAAAACTTTTTGCAGAGATCGAGGAGGAGGAAATGATAGATGAATGAAGTGACATAAATAAAAGAGAGAAAAAACACACAAAAAATGGTGAGAAAAGAGGAATCTAATGTTAGTGAAGACAGAGAGGAGGAGATTGCCTCCTTTTGTGTGTTAATTTCTTCTTCCATTTCAGTTAATACTAATCATATTCAAGACTCGTAAATTAATAAGGGTTTAGTTTTAGTTTTTCGTTTATTATTTTTTAACGAGATTTCGATTTTTGAAAAGAAAGATATTTCTGTAATTTCTTTTAATTGAATTAATAAGATGAACTTGAAAATATGTTATGTTGTTAATTGTACGGATTATCACTTAAGACTGTATTTTGTTCATTCTTATCGCTATTTTAAAATACATAAGATACGATCATTTTTATTTTTATTTAATTAAGATATAATAATTTTATTTTTATTTATTTAAGATGTGATTATTATGGTTTAACTATCGTTATTAGTTAATAGATTAAGTAAAGTGATATTTTGGTATAATCACACATTTGGTCTTTATTATTTACATTTTCTCAAATTAGTCATATTTTTAATAAATTAAAATAAATTTAATTCTTCAATCGAATGATGTCATATGTCACCGGTACTACATGTCACCATTCGATTGGAGGACTAACTTTATTTTAGTTTAATATATTTATTCTCCACCAATTTTCTCTGTTTTGTTAAATTAAAATAAAGTTAGTTTTATAATCGAATGGTGACACATGACACGACATGTGATACCAATGATAGTTGCATCATCCAATTGGATGATTAAAAGTATGACTACACTGAGAGAATATGTAAATAACATGGATTAAATGTATAATTATACTAAATATTTAACATCACTTAACTCGTGGTGACCACATCTTATTTAAATAAGAACAAATGTGACCATATTTTATGTATTTTGAAACCAATGACTAAAAGTAAACAAAATACAAACATAATTGACCATTTGTGTAGTTAACCCTAAAGACTGAGCTACGTTGGGTCCAAAGGGCTTGGCCCCTGTAAAAGTTTTGTATATTCGATAAATTTGGGTATAATATTATTTTGGTTTACTTAAAAATAAATATTTAAATTAAAAATATAATAATTTATTAAATATTTAATTAAGCATGGGTCGAACTAAATAAGGATAATATAATGTTCTCAAGTTTTTTTGGTCTAATAACAATTTAGGTCATTATAAGTTTAAATATTAAATAATTTAAGCATTGTCTTTTGAAATTTGAGTTTAAATACCTAATAAACAGTGTTTTGAAAAACAGACCGGACCGATCGGTTCAACCGAGAATCGCTGTCTAGTCCGGTTCAATCTACATCGGTAGAACCGTTACTAGTGAACCGGCCGAAACCGTTGATCCATTCGAACCAGACCGGCTGAAAACCGAAAAAAATCGGGAAAAATGGGAAAAAATCGACAATTTGTTTTTTTTTTTAAAAATTAAACCAAACAACGTCGTTTGTTAAACGAGCCAAGTCGAACTCGAGTATTGCTGAACTCGACTCGAACTTGAAAACTTTAAAAGTAAGCTCAACTTGACTCAAACTCACGAGCTAAAAATTATTAAGTTCAACTCGAACTCGAAATATATTATTGAAACTTGAAATCGAAAAGGCTTGAACTCAAAAAAAATTTAGAAGCTCGATTGAAGCCTAAAATTCGAGCTTGATTGAAGTGAAATAATAGTTCACTTAATGCTCACCAAAAGACTCAATGATTTTGAATGTCAAATTACCTCTATTATTTATAGAAGTTAGTTGGGATGCTCTTCTATGTTTCTTAGCTATGTGGGATTGTTTTGGTCTCATATTTTTACTCTTTAGACTTTTAGGATGTTCTTCTATGTTTCTTAATCATGTGGATTGTTTTTAAAAAAAAAAAATTAAACCAAACAATATCATTTTGTTATGATTTTTTTAGCCCCAAATTTATTTTTTAATTATAGTTATATAATTATATTTATTATTTAATATGTTTTACCTTAAATATTATGTTGTAGTTATTTTGAATCATTTTGCTTTACTTGATTTTATGGTTTTTAACTTATAAATGTTATGACTTGCTTTGAATATGACTTGTAATATAAAAAATTATTTTTTATTAAATATTTTTGGTATTTTTATTTAATTTTTTAAATAATTATGACGTCGTCCGGTTCTTCCGATCGGTCGGACCGGCTCGACCGGTTGAACCAGTGAACCGATAGCATGATCGGTTTGCTAACCGGTCCGATTCTGAAAACCATGCTAATAAACCATTGCATTTTTTACAAAATCTAATATTTTGTCCCATAATATTTAGTCTCGGCTCCGTCTCTGGTCACAACATGTGTTTTTTTCACTAATAAGGATTGAGAAAACATAATAAAAAGCTAAAAAGTTCTTCAATTATTAATAGGGATTCAAATAGCGACTGGATAGCAATATCATGGTTGTTATGTTACGGTTGCAGTGGCATTCGAGATCGTTCTCACGGAAAATAGCGGTATGCAGCGGAATCACACCAATAGCGACGGATCGCAGCCGCAGTTTAACGGATAACATGCAATCGCGGCAATAACGAACCTTATTCCGCTGTTTTATGTTATTTTAATTTTTTTAAAAAAATCACTTTCTTTTAAAAAAAAATCAACTCATTTTAAAAAAAAATTCACCAACATAATACCCGCAATGATTATAATAACATCCGTTATATTCACAATCACGATAAAAGTAATACGATAAAAATAAGACCGCAACCGTAATTTAAATCTCTCGACTGCATCCATGCTCCTTGTTGAAACGTTTCTCATCTGATAGTCTTATTCCATGAGTTCAGCAGCAACGTCTGGAGGGATCATTGGTGAAGCTCCAAGCTATTTTAGTCAAACCATTAGCTACACGGTTACAATCTTTAGGGACATAGCAAAACGATGCAAACCAGCTTCGATCGAGGAAGGCAGCAATACGAGGGATCATTGGTGAAGCTCGTCTTGAATCTCGACCACCATTAATCGCAGTGATGGCTTCTTTTGCTGTCCGTCTCAACAATTACCTTTTGCACATTCATATCTCAAGCGATACTCGACCCTTAAAGATACCCCAAAGCTCGACATCAACCTTAATGAATCACAGACTCGCAGGAAAGCAGAGAAAGCTAAGAAGAACGATGAGATTTTTTCTGTTTGAAAGAGACAGAGGAACGATGAAGAATATGAAGTTACTGTGAAAAGAAGAATAAGGTTAATATTTTACCATGAGTTGTAGGAAAAATATTATGGGTTACAAATTTTAATTAAATCTAAATTATTTATTTATTTATTTAAATCTAATAATTATGAATCAGTGAGAAACTAATAAATTTTACATAATCATTCAGAAATTTTATTGACCCATAAATTTTATTTGTTTAAATCCTAAAATCTGATGTTGTTTATATTAGTATTCCATTTTATTGACAAATTGTATTTGTCTTTTCATATAAAAAATATTTTTAGACATGTCATTGTTTTTTATGTCTATAAATATAAAATTTGGAAAGAAAATGTTTTTTTAATTAATCTGGAAAATACTAACGATTTTACATTTTCTCATATCTCTCGTTACTATATTTTTTCTATTAATTCGAAAAGTATAAGATGATATCTATTTAAAGATAACTCTTAACTGTTTGACATTGAACTCTTACACCTCTGACATTTATTATGCTCAAACTTGAGACTTCAAAGAATAACAATACTTATTTTATCACCGAGATCACTATGTTCATACTAAAATGTTTATCTTATTGACACTTTTCCCCTTATTTTTTGGGCATTTTATCTAAAAATACCCTAAAAATAAAATATTCGGTCAAGACTCAATAAATACTCGGATCGAATGAACTCGACTTGAACTCGAGCTCGACTCGAATTCTTAACGAGCTGAAACGAGCTGCTTGATACTCGACTCGAAAAGCTCATGAGCAACTCGAAAATATAATATATTAAGGTTTTATTTTTAAAAAAAATAAAATCTTAATAATATTAACATTTATGTGTTGATTTTTTTTTAAAAAAAATACAGTAAAACTTTTATGTATTAAGATCTAGGTTCGAGTATGAGTTTGAGGCTTCAATCTAGTTAAGTTTAAGTTTTTTTTTCATTTCGAACCTTTTCGAGCTGCTCATGAGTTTCAGTTCAGGATTTCGAATTAGAGTCAAATTTAAAAATTTTAAGCTCACGAGTTTTCGAATCGAGTTATCTCGTTTACATCCCTAGTGAGGGATGGGTCAATAAAGAGGAGATTGAATGCAACTTTAACATTTGCCCAAATGCCCTAAAGGAGGAGAAAAAAATAACCACTCCAATAAAAGGGACAAAAACAGATTAAATAATTTTAAAATTTTTGTTAAAAGTGAAAGGAACGGTGGAACCCATGTTATGCACCACCCAATGTACAAATTTAAGGCCAGCTTATCATCTTACAAGCTTTTTCTTTTCTTTTCCCTTCAAATGTATTTATTTATTTATTTATTTTGTATTTAATAATATTTTTAAATTATTCTATTTAAAAACTATATAAAAAGATACAAGTATAATATCATAATAATTATTTTCATTTAAAAAATATATTTTGATTTTTAATTAAATAATTTTCTATTAATCCCTAACATTAACTCAATTATAAATTAAATTAATTGTATAGATGACAACTTTTAAGATAAAAAGTATTTCTCTAATTAAAAATCATTATTTTCATTATAAATAATATTATTTTTATTTGATATAATATTTAACTTATTTAAATAATTTTTTATAGGAAACGCTAGTTTTATTAAAAAAAATAGAAAATATCCAGAATTACAATGAAGATTTACGAGTATAATCGTAAACATAAACTAAATTATAATTAGGACATTTTCCTATAACCATTGACACAAAAATAAGCCACGTAGATCACTCAATGACCATAAAAGGAAAATGTTAAAAAAACCTAACCAATACTCAAACAAAATAAAGATACAAATAAATCTGACTGCATCCATAAATGAACCACAAAAAGGGGTAAAACTACTGAAAGACCACTGACAAATCGCAAATCAAAGTCAAGCGACGTGAGAAAAATATTCACGAGCGTAAAATGCGTATTCAAATC